AGATTTTTTTGATTTACATACAACGAGGTGTAACAGTTAACTGATCAATGAGGATCTGGATTTCGACAAATTCGACAAAGAAATTAAGACATCAGCTTAGAAAAGCCTGAACCAACTTCTGCTGCTAGGCCTTTAACAAGCCTCAGGTTGAAGGTTTTTTTTTAATACTACAAGAAGTCATAGAGAATAATAATAGTTCTCCGTTTCGTGTCTATAATGTTGATAAGCCGGGTGTATCTACCGCTCAAAGGCCTCATAACTGCTGGACGTAAACAAGTTGGAGTGATCACACGAGTAGGTAGTCACCAAAAAACAAAATGTTTGATTATAGCTGACAGTGACAGCTACAGATTTAGCAAAACTATGCTAAATCTGTAGAAGAAAGAAGAGAAAATTTCTTATAATATTATATCTTATTACCTGATTATATCCTAATACCTATACTTAAATTGAAGAGTTAAAACTCATTATTAATATAATATGTAGGTAATTAGTTTTACAAATAGAATTGTTCAACTGCGCCCCCATTTTCTTCAATACATTTCATGTATGTTCTCCGTAATCTTTCTAAAGCGGCAGTGATAGATTGGTGATAGATAGAAATTCTGTTATAAACAGATTTTTTTAGATGATCTCTGTTTTCTATGGTATTTGCGTTTATACGATCATTTAGAGATCCCCATAAAAATGCATCGAATCATGTAGTTTTCAAATTCGTTCTGAAGAAAATTAAACTAACCATTACTACGCATTATAAAATAGTTCTAATATAAAACACGTATAAAAGCATAAGTTTTGCATTTTTCGCAACCATCAACATTTTAGATGATTATAATCATGTTTCTTAACGGTTCAGGGAAGTTCATTTTATTGCAAATTTGTTTGTTCCGATTGCGCTAATGTGAACCGGACCCGGTTAAGTAACGTCGAAGAAATGAAGATCTTGAAATTGAAATTCCCTATAGCAATGAGGATTTATCGTCTGCCGTTTTTTCCATTTATCATACCACAGGTTGAAAACGATGAATTAATAATCATTATTTCGGTTAATGTTTCCCATTGCTTCGTATGGCAAAACCCACCCGTTTTATTCGATGCCTGGGCATTAATTTTGTGGTAGGTTTAATTTTGAATGCATTGTATTCTGCTTTTTAGAGAGCAGTTTGAATTTTCTAGTACGATGAATTTTTTTCATTAATAAACTCTTCTTTCGGGATTTCCGATATTTTTCTAATGGAAATATTACGATTTTCTTCAACTTTTAGTAGTCCTTAAATCACTATCTTCATCTCTTTCCAATGTTCTCTTCTTTCGGGTTAGGCTGGCGGATTGTTTTGTTTTGTTTGTTTTTGAAGGGTTTAATTACACGTAGTTGAGCCAATTTAGCCCTTTCATTTGGTTTAATAAACGTTTTCAAAATTTATTGTTTTTCTTTTTGCGAATAATAAATAAATAATAAATCTGAAACTGACATTGTCAGTTATAAACAAATATTTTGTTTTTTTGGTGACGATCTACCTCACAGCCACCTAAGATATAAATTATAAATTCTAGGATATTATTTTATTTTTGCATGTTGCTTTTATGTTAGAAGCGTATATATCTGAAACAATATAGGACTTGAGTATAGGACATATTATATAGAAAATGTGCCGAATTTTTAGGGGATCTTATTAATCGTATAACATAAAGGTGTTCCATTAAAAAATATATGTTTCTTATTTGTGGGTGATTTCTGAAACACCCTGTATATTACACATTTTAAATAGACATGATAAATAGGCACCCAGTACATTCACAAACTTTCTAAAAATTTCACAAATTTTTTTATAAAACCATCGAAGCCTTAGAAATTCTTAACAAAATTTAGCAAAAACTAACTAATCAAAACTTAAACTTGGTTTACGAAATTTTTTAGAAATACTGTGAAACGAAATCTAAATTATTAAAAAATCGATAACATTTCGGTCCGGACTAACCATTACAGATCCATGCTTAATCGGTTACACTTCAAAGGCATTCCCGTTCCTCCGATGGGTTTATTATTGTTTTTGTTGGGGAAAGTGTTTCGCGGTCTTGTTAAAATCTAAACGCATTTTTTGTGACCGTGGGTTTAAACGGTCGGACATCCACACCGCGACTTTTATAGGTCGTAAAAATGTTAATATCAAACGCGACAATTAAAAAAAACATCAACGCGCAGAGAAAGAGTTATGCGATAAGACGACGAGCTCTGGCGTTTTGTCCTAATTGAAGAGATTTCTACAAAACAATTAATTTTTTTTTTCTTCCAAGAACGCACGGGTGTCGAGTTGCCCAGTCGGAAAATATTATGTTTCGGCCAACGAAACGAACTTCTTCCTGCAGAGCCTCACGAAACCGTTTTAATGAAATTTATCGCGATGGCCGCCTCTACGATCTAGAAAAGCGTTCTCCCATCATTCCGACCGGCTATAACTCTACGCATTTTAATACATATTTGTATTACACGTAATTCGATATTAATTGCCAAACGAGCGGAATCAATACAAATTAAATGTTATGCGCTCAGGAAGAAAGAAACGTTCTGGGTCAGATGTGCTTTTGTTCCTGATCGGTCAACAGAAAATTCGTAAATTTTGGATTTTCGCAATACTATTAAAACAAACGAACAAAGAGCACGAGGTAATCTAGGATTTATACTATGAGCATTCCTGAGCTACAAAACATGTAAATAATTAATTATTTTATTTAATAGCATGGTGAGATTAGTTCATGAGTATTCCTCAATATTTTGGAATCTTTGCTATAACAAATATACAATTAAAGCATATTCTGTAAAATAAGAGAATTTAGTCAATTGTTTAAGTGACCAATACATAGTAAGCCATTTGGCAAATTTATTGCGGAATTGATTCACGATAATTTATGCTCGCACGTAACTAGAGTAGAGAAAAACTACCTCCAGGAAATGGAAATTCGAACTTTAGTCTGGCCACCCCAAATTGCCAATATGAACCTCATTCAGCATTCATATGAACACATTTGCGTCGACAGATTAGACAGAGCCTTGAGACCTTAACCTAGAGACTTAAATCAAACTGAACAAAATGAAACCAAAAACGTAATTTCTAGTATGCCAAGAAGGTGTGAATTAGTAATAAGAGCAAGGGGTTGAAATACGCGAAATTAAATTCAAGTTGGATTTGGTTTGGATATAAATCGATAATAAATTTAGATGTTTTTTTTTTAATAGACAGCAAATTTGCGGCCCAGTGTATTAACTAAACATAGTAACATACTTAATTTGGGCCAAATGTACTTTTTCATTTAGCTATTGCCAGAATCGCAACTATTATAAAATAGAAGCAGTAGGAAATATCTGGATACAGTACTTAAATATAAAGCTTTTCTTAATTTTTTTTTTTTCGATAAATGCAAATCCGTATAGAACAGGGAAACGTTGACTCTTATCCAGCGACAGATTTAACACGAATTAACACAGGACCTCTCAACTAATAAGAATTGCTCGTTCACATGACACTTTTACCGACCTTGACTTGTTTGGAAGCAAGTGTTGTCTGACTTTGAAAATAAGGTTGAACGGTACAATTATTCAATAGTTTATTTCTACCTTTTATTTGCCTTTGCCTATTAATTTCTTATAATTACTAAGGCCTCCTAGTTAGAAGATTTAGGTTATATTTGTAATTTGTGGAAACTCGCAATTGGACAGATATGTCTGTTTGTGAGTTAGCATTTCTTCTTAAATAAATAAATTAACTAATGAAAACTTTCCAAAGCAATGAAAAGTCCACCCAAACGCAATCGCTTGGTTTTGTTAACTTTTTTGCATTTATTTTGTATTCATCGAAAAAAATTTAACAGTTTTCTAAACAAAATCAATTAAACACTTTATTAGTTATTCTTCTCAAAGTATCACTTTACGCATGCGAATGCATGCATTGCGAATTTATCAGATTTGAGTTGCAACTCATACTCAAACGCAACTTAAATTAATTGATTAAGAATAAGAAAAAATGCAAAACTTAGGTTAAGTAGAAAGAAAATGAAGAAATATGGGTAGTTAAAATAACAAAAAAAAACATAAAACGTTGGTTACTAAAACACTGAAAAATATACAGCAGTCTTACTATACATTTGCAGCAAATTGATTAAATAATTAATTATTAATAATTAATTAATTGAAATTCTCATACTGTAGTAAACTAGATAGAACATTTTAAAATCACAGAAATTGCATCCAATTTTGTTCACATCGCAATCATCGTTGTTCCACTAATTTTGATATTTTTTATATTTTTTCTTTTTTAAATTCCACTATGGTGTGTTTCATTTTTTTTTTTCTTTTTCTACTAAATTATTTTTAACTTGGAATACTAAGCTTGTGTAACTAAATTATGAATTTTGTTTGGACAAATTTGATAAGAATAGTGTGAAACGAAAGTGCGTGTCAATTATGTCCATTTACAAATTGCTATAAACTGCAGACTGAGTGAATTGAGATGATTGATGTCTGGTCGAAGTTAGCTTTATAGAACTGCGACGTCGATTTGGAACTCTCTTAGTTGTGAACCAATTGATATATCGATGCTGATAAGTTTAGTCATACATTACTGCCTAAATAAATTGTTCTCTGGTAAGCAAAAAAGCTATTATTATTACTAGAAAATCCTCACTGGGTGGTGTTAAAAATCATATTGTCATACCATTACAAATTATTTTATGTTCTTGGGAGCGGAATCATTATTTTGCATCATTTTTTGTATTTGAAAGAGCGCTTTTTTTAAATTAATTGATCAACTAACCGTAAGTTTATTTATATTAATGCTTGAAGTTTGATGTCCGATTTAATTTTAATTAGATAAATTGGGAGAACCAAATTTACCAGGCACCTGTGACCGTTGTTTTATATAAAAAAAGTGGGATATATTACAGATGTAGTTTAGTAACTTAATTTTTCGTTTTCCGGTCGCTCTGTATACAAGATCTGTACTCACCTTTGCAGCCGTTGTTCGAAAACCCGTAGTGCAAATTTTGACAGGCATCGCAATGGAATCCTTCGACTCCCGAAAGACAATCGCAGGTGCCGGTGTGAACGTTACAAACTGGCGATTGCGAGCCGATCGGGCTGCAGGAACAAGGCGGGCACATGGCGGTGACGTTTCCAAAACCGACCTGCATTTTGGAAAACGCGTGTTGACCGTTGATCGTAAGTACTCTCGATTCGTACTTACTTCGCATTGGTCGCAAGTTCTTCCCGTAAATTTTTCATTGCAGACACACTGGCCGGTCGCATTATGGCATTGCTTTGATTCGGAACCAAGCAGATCACATTCGCAAGGTTTGCAGTTGGAAGTCGACGGATCGCCGTAGTGTTCGGGTTTGCACCTTTCACATTTCCAACCTGGGTTTAAAGTTCCGGTGAAGCATGCCACGAATGACAAGGAAAATGGCATTTATTCAGTATTATTATTTATCATTCAGGCACAGTGTGGCTCCTTCTCTCCCTTATTAATGTGGCACAAACAAAAATGGTAAAGATATTTTGGATTTTGAGATATAGGGTGATTTTAAAAATGTTGCATCCTTATAGTTCTTTGTAGCTATGAGTTCTCATCGAAAACGTGAAAATTGATCTATATACGGTTTTTTGCGTAGTATGCAGTGGTGCACTAACCAAAACTTACAAATTTTGATATATTAATTAAACATGTGTTGTTTTTTAATCTGAAGTTCTATTTTAATAATTTAATTAGGCTTGTTATTAGCTTTTCAAAAATATACAATACATAAAAAGACGTTTTTTTAGATAAGAACATAATTTATTACAAAGAGTTTGTTGCATGTCAAAATGAACTTGCGCAGGTGTGTGTACAAAATACGAAATACGAAGTGCCATGACTGTTCGACAGCTAACAAACGAACATCTTTTTATATAAAAAAAATTAAAGATTTATACTCATATAAAGCCAATAAAATAAATAATAATAATAATAAAGCCCACTCAAATTATTAAAATAAAACACAAGTTCCGTTTGTATGTCAAAATTTGTGAGATTTGAAAAAAAAAAGTGACTACGTCACTAGATCCCATATAAAAAAGATTAACCAGAGCAGCTTTCATGCCTAAAATGCAACATTTTCAAAATATCACTGTATCTAAGGGCAGAAGGTGCTAATTCTGTTTGCAAATTTATATTTCAGTAAGTAACATCCAATACTTAGAGGGTCTCACTGCATTTTCAAAATTGGGATTATATTATGATAATGATGATATGAAATTGTGGGAAATCCCTAAGTTTCAGATAGAATACGAAAAACAACATAATCAGATCATATGTCCTTTTCCTGGCGGCTGATCCTTCGGATACATGAAAACGGCTTTTCAATTTTTCAAAGAAACTTCCACAGGCTACAGTAATCCTGTTGGCTTCTAGTTCGACTCAATAAACTCCGAAGCAGAAGAAATCCAGAGGTTTTAAAAAAAGTAAAACTGCTTTTCTTAAATAATTTTTAAAGTGCTTGACATAATTTAGCAAAAATGTAATAAGTTGGTCACTAGTTGGAACCCCTTAAAATAGCATATTTGAAACATATTTAGGTTGTTTCGTTTACCAGGGGTCGATTAAGTTGTAAAGCTAAACGCAATTGGAAATTACTTTTAAGGATTATTAAATTTAGGGATTTTTTTTTTCGAATTTGTATAAGGAAACAATGTTTTGATATTAAATTAGAGCAAATTGAACACATTGGCGGGCATGTTCTGTTTTTGTGTTCTATCTAGATCCCACATAGACTTGTCACATTTTCCCTTACGCCCGGTATATCAACACAGTTTGCCGGTGAAATTGAACTTGTTTTACACATACCAAAAAATTATTCAATAAAAATACAGACAAAAGTTTTAATACGACATTTAGCTCCCTAGAAGATTGCCCAATTGTTATAGTTTTTTATCAGACTTTAAACGTAAATAACGAGCAAAGGAAATGTTTGAATCTGAACTGCCTTCTGATAAAAATCTTAAAATAATAATTTGTGGTATGCAGGTGACACGTGACAATGTTCTTATCACACTTATCTCGCTTATCGACCATCAAACAGCCAGAGATGGCTGAAGCTCCGGTCTATAAATAAAATTCCACAAAACTAACAAATTAATATCAAACAACAACAGAACAGAACAGAAATGATCTATTCAATAACATTTCCCCATCATCATGCATGATCACCCAATTTTTTAGTCAAGAACGTGAAAAGGAGAGATTACCTTCGGTGTTGCCCTTGCAGCTCAGACACTGGCCAGTTTTTCGATCGCAAGGCCCTCCGTTGCAGTCACAAGGCATACATCTATTGCCGACTTCCATCGGGTCGCCGTAATATCCATCGTCACATCTAAAGAAAAGTAAAAAATGTGTTATCTGATTCGAGTGTATCTTGACAAATGGTGGAGGCGGTGCGTTTTTTTATATATCGAACAAATTTATAAAAAAGATGTATAAAAATATAGCTACCCACATTTCACAATGGTCGCCAGTGTAACCTTTGGGGCATTGGGTGCAAACGTAACTTCCTCCGCCCCTGTCGTCTGTCGTGACGTAATCCAATTGACAACTCGGGCTGAAGTTGTTCGCGTCGTTCTCTAGAGGGCACGCGCATCGTTTGCAATCGGTTTCGGTTCCGCGCAACGGATTTCCGTAAAATCCGACCGAGCACCTTTCGCATTTTTCGCCTACCGTATTGTGCTCGCAAAAGCATTCACCTGAAAAGTCGAAAAATCACATAAACATAAACTCGAATTCGGGAACGAGAGGATCCATTCTGAACTTCTCATATTCACGCTGGCACCCACCTGAATGATGGATCGTTCCATAGCCCTTCTTTATTGAGGCATCCCTTAGAAATTGTGGATTATTGTTTTTATTATATGTAAATTAGTCAAATTGCCTGAGTTGCCCTACAAACCGGTAAAATTAAAAAAAAAAACAGAATCCCATAATCACCACTGCTAATGGCCGCAGAGAAAGTGTCGTTCTCAAAGCGTAAAAAAGAAACACCGAGACGACCAATGGCATTGGATAAAATACATAATCCAGTCATTGAAACCGAATAAACTAACCAGTTAAATGCGCAGATTCAGAAATTATATCTCAAAATTGGAGGAGATGACGTAACGCAATCATGGGGAGAAATAGCAAGTGTGCTAAAAATCACCTCACAAAATAGTTAAATATGGATGACCGATGAAATTCTGCTACTCATGGGTGAATGCAGAAAATTAAAAAATTATAAAGTACAGTACAAAAAACTGCAAAAGCGGGTATTGAATATAAAAAAAATGAATGGCTTATAAGAGAGTTCAACGAAATAGAACAACAAACGAAAGGATTCCAACCTTCATAAAAGACTCAAAAAAAACGCTGAATTATTTAAAAAGCGAACCCTAGATATACCAGTCAATGAAAATAGCCAAATAATCCTATACAATACCGAAAAGTGCAAAATATGGGAGGACTATGTAGAAAATCTCTTTAATGACAAGACCGACTAAAGAAGTCATAGCCGGAAATAACCTAAATGGACCATCCATTATTAAAGAAGAGATAAAAAGTGCTATATAAATCCCTAAAAATAATAAACCAGTTGCTGAGATACTATCAGAAATACTCAAACTTTTCGACGAGAGACGCATTGTAGTACTTTACATGTTATTTAACCAAATATATCACACTGGGTAACACCCGGAGCAGTGGCTATTTTCGAATTTTATTGCTCTACCAAAAAAGACCAGCGCACGAAAATGCCAAGAACACAGAGTCATTAGTCTCTTGAGTCATTCCCTAAAAATATTCCTCAGAATAATACATGCGAGCCTATATAAAAAATGCGATAACTTCATAAGCGACTCATCCGATCTGCAACAGAGTGTTCATTTTGTGGGAGACTGCAGCCAGGATATAGGATTGAACATGAACACAAAGAAACCTAAATTCATGGTTATCATGAGAGAGATAGATACATTTAAAAACGTCAGCTTAACGTATAATTAAAATGTTATAGAACGCGTGGAAAAATTTAGGTACCTAGGAACTTGGCTTTATGAAGAATGATCTTCAGACAAGGAAAAACGTATTCCTAAAATTCAAAAAAGTGTTCGCTTGTAGCGACTTTGACCTTGATAGTCGGCTGAGATCTGTGGGCTGCTATGTTAGGTCAGTACGGTGTTCAAGGCTGGATATTAAATTGGATAGCCAGAACGAGAAACGAAGATGTTCTCAGGCGTATTAACAAAGATCGCGAACTCTTTGACGATGTAAAAAAAAAAGAAAGACTGCATATCTGGGTCACATAATGTGCAATCATAAATATCAATTTCTGAAAATGATTATTGAAGGCAAAGTCGAGGATAGAAGAGGACTAGGACGAAAGAGAATGTCATGATTGAGGAACGTGAGACACGGCCAGAGATAGATAAGCTATTGACAATGTGGTCTCAAATATTCATTCGTGGATAAGAAATTTGGACAATTCAAATTCATTTTCAAAAAATTTTAAAACTTCATTTATGAAATGATTATGATTTTTTTCGAATTTTAATGCGATGTTGTCCGGTTATTGGTGAAAATAGCAAGTATTATAAGTATTCTAAGTATTATTCTTAAGTATTCGTAAGTATGAGTATTATTCTTATGTTTTGCAAACGAAAAATAAATTAAAATTTCCTCTCCGTCCTTTATTTTTTGTTTTTAAGAGTGTTTTAGTTTTCAATATATATTTGGGTCGACCCTTACCCAATTTTAAAAGAAGTATAATAAAAAGTATATTCGTAATTCATTTCTCGACGGTCCATAATTACGTCATCTATTTTCATTTAGTTTTAACAAATGCCTTTGACTCCCGGGTCGGCTTTTTCTGTCTGCATACCTGTAAAAATTGTTTTTTTCTTAATATTTCTGAAAAAATTTAAGAGACCTTTATGGAATTAATATCACAAATCCCGTTCAATGGGACATAAAAGTTACTGACCAAATTGCCAGTTATTTTAATAGTTTTTCATAAAAATGGTAAATAATACCGGTTTTGGAATTATTTGAGGTTTTAGCAAATAATGCTTTTCTTATGTGGAAAAAACCATCTCAGAGAATAATGATTATTTCAGAATCAGGTTTCCGCATAACATTAATTAAGAACAGACATAGAAAACAATTAAAAAAAAAGGATAACATAACACAAATAAAAGAAGTGAAGAAGTAGGTACCGATTTTTTACATTAGATGTTCGAAATGTCTGCCATTTTCACGAATACATTTTCGAAAACATTTTCCTAGCTAAAGCCGTGGAACTGAAACTTATTTTGCTTGAATATATATTTTTTAAGCAAACTCCACAAACACATTAAGATACAAGTGATTTAGGTCAGGGGTGGTCAGCAGATAGGAGAATTGGCACCCCGATCAATCCAATGGGGTTTGTTTGAGAGCCATCTTCTACTAAAACAATTCATCTAATAACCTAAAGAAATTATTATCCAGAAATAGATAGTTAACATCACCATTCAAATTTCAATACAAAATATAGTATTGTACTAGCTTAGGAAATCAACTTAAAATTATGTTGACAGTTCTTCATTATGATGCAATAATTATTACAATATTGTACACTAGAAACATTTGCGTCACTTGCCCTTCATAGGATCTGCAAGCAAGATTTAAAATATTTTCTTCCATTTAAGGAATTCTTGCCACTCGTGGTATCACAGCATCGCCTCTTTCAATGAAAAAAAAAATTACATAAAGTTGCTTGAGTCTTAATTTAGTTGTTTTATTCCATGCCGATTCTGTCGAATCGATACAATTTGTTTAAACATTTAATACCAATGTAATCCGGTTTTTTTGACAAATTGATAGCTTATAAAAAGGTGGCTCAAATTCATTTTTTGTTCGGGTGTTGTAACTGTGAATCTCATGCCTCTGTAGCAATTCGGGTTCTTTTTTTTAGTGTGTATAATAAGGCAATACACGTAAATAGACAGCGTCCAAATTTGTAATGAACCAAAAGCCCTTACCAATACCCAACCCTTACTATGGGTCTGATCACTGTTTTTTTGCGATGAAAACAAATAATAAAAAATAATCGTTCATTTTCGATAGAATATTATCAATATCCATAGAAGTCCATAGAAGTTTTTCAGCAACATACAGTCTTAAAAAATTTGTACTATCATTATTCCGCAAAAAAAACTAGAAAAATTCAATCGAAAGTATTATCTAGAAAATTTTCTTTACCCAAGATCAAAAATAAAGAAGGACGTTGACTCCACGGAGTTCTAGCGGTTCTTTAAAACCTCACGCTCGGGCTTTAGGGGTCTGCCTGATTTGATTTTCTTTGCGGGAGAACAAATTGACGGAAATGCTGACACCGCAAATAAATTTGTAGATTATTTTCAAAGTGTACATAAGAATACAAAATCTTCATATAATACAGAACTCAGTAAAAATTTAGTGTTTACCAATGACATCTTGAAACTTGATTCCATCTCAGATAAAGATGTTTTAGATGCCACCAAAAAAATAAAGCCCAAAAAGACAGTGTGTCCAGACAAGATCCCTCCACTCATATTTAAAGCGAGCATCCATGAGCTTCTACGATCAATAAAAATAATTTTTAAGAATACCCAATTGCATGGAAAATGTCAAAAGTTTACCCAATTCATAAAAGTGGGAAAAAGTCAGAAATTAATAATTGTAGACCTGTGGTAATCATTTGCGCATCAAGTAAAATTTTTGAAACCATTTTGTATAAATACATCTTTTCTCATATATCAGAAGTAATACATCTAAACCAGCACGGCTTTATGTTGAGAAGATCGACAGAGAACAACTTAACAAGCCTTTTACATAAAATAAATGAATCCATAGACAACAATAAACAAGTAGACGTTGTATTTATAGATTTCTCAAAAGAGCTTCATCGAGTTGATAATGACGTATTTCTAAAAAAATTGGGTGTCTTTGGTACTCTTAAGATATGTGCATCGTACTAAAAGGAAAGAATAATGTGCAATCATAAATGGTGTATGGTAAATGAAGTATGATATGAATATGAATTTGTCACATTTTCAGGGGTTACGCGGGATGCGAATCTGAGTCCACTGTTTTTCCTTTATTTAATAAATGACCAAACATATGTTGTTCAAAATTCTGAGTGTGAATTATTGGCAGACGACTTTAAATAGAATTATTAGGGGTTTAGAAGACTGTGTTTTATTCCAAAAGGATATGCATAGAGCACAAGAATGGGCCAATGAAAACAAATTATCCTTTAATGTACACGAATGTTTTAAATTTACGTTTACACGAAAAAAATATTTATTAAATTATGATTAATTTGCAATTTTGTGATTAATACTACTTAACCACAAAAAAACAAAACAAAGATCTGGGTTTAACATTAGACACAAAAATAAGCTTCGAAACACAACGAAAAGGGCATATGTAATTTTCGGTTTTATTCTCAGGAACGGATCAAATTTTCAACAAATAAAAACTTTTGAAACCTTGTGCAACTCACTAGTAAGGGGTGTACTTGAATATGCTTCTTTGGTGTGGTCCCCCATTACCAAAAAAACACTAAGAAAATAGAAAAAAAAACATGGAATATACATATTTGACATACCATATCAAACTTCAGGAACTTTGTTATGAAACGCTAGAATCAAGACGGAAGAAATCTAAATTAACATTCTTTTATAAGCTAGTTCCTTATGAAATTGATTGTTCTTTTCTCCTAAGTAGCATAAGTTGCAACTGTAGTCTCTAATTCACAAATAGAAGTAGCGTTTTTTATTTAAATAGACCTCGTACCGATGTTGGTGTCAACTCTCCACTATTCGAACAGTCTAAAAAACGAAATGGACATTTTTAATTGTACTTCCACCAATTCATTCATATCTGTAAATTTCCCTTCAATGGGTATTGATTTGCTTATGCACTGGTGTTTTTTTGGTATATAGTTTTTTTTCTCTTTTTTCGATAACGTGCGGTTAATGTAAGATATGTCTGTTATTGGACTGTTAAATAATCCGTAGGCCGTTTTTTCGTTCCAAGTTGTATTGCGTTTGATTTGCTTGTATTTAAATGTATCCCGTTTGATCTGCACCACGATTGCATGATACCCACCGTAGCGCTATTCTTAGTGACTAATTCTTTAGTGTTTTTAGCGCTAATTATAATATTGCTGTCGTCGGCGTACGTTACTGGATAGCCCAGATTTGCCAGGAAGTCGGGCAGATCATTAATAAAAACATTGAAGAGTGTTGGAGATCGACAACATCCCGGAGGGGTTTCCTTCGATATTCTTAGAATGTTGGATTTGACACCATCGACTTCGACCTGCTGTGTGCGATTGAGTAAATACAAGTCGCTGCGAACGCTGCTCCTCTCACTCCAATAGATGGTTTTTTCTAGCAGCAGATCGAAGTCGACCATGTCATATCAACCAGAAGGTTTAAGGCAATATTTTTATTATACAATGCTTTATATACTCGTTATTGCCGACCTAAGAGCCGAGTTAGTGGAAAAACCTGATCTCAATCTGTTTTGATATTGTGACAATAAATTGAACTTTTGTAGAAAATGCTTCAGACGATCGTTAAAACAGCTTTCAAAAATTTGACCGAACTAACACTGTAATGCTACTAGACGGTAATTTTTAATTTCCCTTGCAGAAACGATGGTTTATAATTATTGATAAGGGAACGATATAATGTCGGTGTATTACTAAACGAACGAAGTAAACCAGATAAGTTTTTTTTACTATCTTATCCTTAGTAAGTAGCATAGTACCATTATTTGTGAAAAACTGTTAAAAAAAGTATATTTGCCAAAAAAAATATTTTCACATATAAAATTTTGGGGGCCAAACAAGTGGCATCTTCCTTTACCACCTGTATAAAAGCAACGCTATTTGTAGCCTAAATTTCATTTGGGTATGTTAAACCGTTTAAGAATACATTATTTTAAAAACATGGGGGCCGCCTGCGGCTGTACAGCATCTTTTGAAGGAAACGTTTTCATATACATGTTTATTAGCCAAACTACCGATATTTTTAAATATTCAATTTACCCTAGAAATGCACAACGTGTTTGAAATACCCTGTATAAAAAAGTACTGACATTTGGAAAGGAACTTTACCTGTATTGGCATCGCAAGATTCTGAGTGTCCGTTGCAATCACACTTCCCACAAAAGCTTTCCTGTGTATTACCGGAACTGTTGGCGTAGATTCTTACGTAGCCGAAGGAACAGCTTTCGCAGGATAAACCGGTATATCCTGAAAGAAGCAATTAGGGCTCTCCGTTCAAATTAATTACTTATCAAAATACCGGAAGGACAGGAGCATTTTTCGACACTGCCATCCTCGTAGTTTGCATTTTCGTTGCCGAAACTCATCACGGCCTTTTCCAGCAACGCCTCTATCTGATCGGTATGGAAGGTACCCCTCAGCAAGATATATTTGATGTTCGCCAAAACGCTCAAAAATTGCTGACGTGTTACCGGACCTCTCATGTAGTCGTCTTTTTTCAACGCAGTGGTGATGTCTTTTAAATCGTTCGGTATGACATACCAGCCGGTTTCCTCGAGAAGTATTTCGAAGGACGTTCTCTGGGAACTGTAGATTTCCTCTCCCGTACCTGAAAAGTATGCCAAATAAGAACTGCTGTTGATATAGGCCGCCCAAGATTCAATTCAAATAATAAAAATTGAGAGAGAGCACGATTATGATGGATACCAATTAATACAAAGTGTCCATGTATGCTTTGGAATCACAATTGCTAAGATATTGCTTACATTACTTGTATCTCAGGTTAATATATCCGTCTATGATTTAGTTATTCCGATGTATCCGCATGGTCTTGATCAACATCTGTCAAGCCTATTTTACACGTAACAACTCTGCTTTTTCTGAGTAACTTAAATGAAATTCTTTTAGTGGTAACCGTTCTTTTTGAGCGAATATACATATTAATTACTAGTGTATACCATTACATCAATCAATAATAATCTTGACTGAAGTTGAAAGAAATTTACAGCTAGTCGTGGAATGAAAAATTTAATCGAAATAAGTAATCAGTTGTCATATTTGACATTTGACATTTGATATAATAATAATTTCGTGAAAATCTAAACTTTTATTTCTTATTTATTTTGAACGTTTGAAAAGTCTTCAGAGCTATGAACATTCAATATGCCATGGAAACAATGCTACACAGAGGAAGATGTAGGCAAAAAAACATGCAGATTTGTGTGAAGCCAAGAAGGGACACGTGTAGACGCAAAGAGCACAGTGGTGTAGAAGTGGGTGCATATTATGCAGTGCCGTGCAATGCACTGCAATGAAACGTACGTAACTCCTTCAACGTTTTGAATCGCAATATGTTAGTAGTGATTTCTAAGAAAAAAAAACATGTAATTTCTAATTTAGGTCTGAGATTATATATATATATATATATATATATATATATATATATATATATATATATATATATATATGATGACACTATATTCCGGGATATCATCCGTTCGCTCGTTGAACTCCGACTGGAATCCTGCAAATCCTGCATCCGACTGGAATCCTGCAGACGTTTCGCCAAAATCTCACTTGGCATCTTCAATGCCCGCGCTCCGAAAACACTTCGAACACTGGGAGCGCGAGCATTGAAGATGCCAAGTGAGATTTTGGCGAAACGTCTGCAGGATTCCAGTCGGATGCAGGATTCCAGTCGGAGTTCAACGAGCGAACGGATGATATCCCGGAATATAGTGTCATCATATATATATATATATATATATATATATATATATATATATATATATATATATATATATATATATATATATATATATATATATATATATATATATATATATATATATATAAAACGAAAATGTTGATTTTTTTATTTCTACTGGTCAATTCTGTCGGAATTATTGTTATTAGATTACTATTTTTGTCTAATTTGACTCGACGGTAACCTTTCAATGATAACCAAATAACTTCTCTACATTATGGTGGCATTTTAGACGCACATTGGGGATAATTTCTTCATTACATTACAAAAAATGTACTACCCTATCAAATTAGTACAGCTCAGTCAGACTGTCTGTCTCTCTTTCTCCTCTCACCCTCTATCTCTCTTTTTCTCTCCACTGGATCATAGATTCTACGATCAGGCATTGGAATTTTTGACAATTCCAAACAGCATTTGAGCGTTTACTTAGCTATAAATTTCTTTTTAAATGAAGTAACTAATCAAAATAATGCCGAGTGACTTACCAATTTGAAGTCCGTTTGCACCCACAATAATCATGTTTGGTCCGACTGTGGGTTCGCCGCTGGTGTCGCCCCTCATCACGACCCACTGCACCTCGAAAACGAATGTAGAGCCATAGGCTTCCAGTTTGTTACCCGAATAGTGATGCGGGGCCATCCAGTACAAATTCTCAACACCCGGAATTTCGTAATTACCTACGGAAAAAATATTCTGTCCGTTGGACTCCGGTTTGATAAAGTTGCTGACTTTCAAGTCCGTGATTAGCCAATCGTCCAGTGTGTTTATCTAAAAAGAGAAATTACAACAAAGAACGATACTTAAAGATCGTAGAATTCACTCTTAATAAATGTTATTTCCGTGCGGTTATTCTTGACAACTAATGTCGAGTCAATGTAAGCGTGTTTCTTCCTCATATTAATATCAAAGTTAACAACATTATTAACAAAATGCCTAAAAGGATAAACTTCTTCCCTAGATATTACGATTGGAAACCCACTGGTATCCTTCGATAGAGTGAGTTTTGCATTGTGGAGGGGATAAAAGTGGTACCTTATTATGCGTTTATTTTTTGTCGTAGTTTATTTATCAATATTCCTTTGACGCTTTTCAAGAGTAGCCGCCCTGATCGCCCCCAGCATTTAATTGAAAAAATATCTTACCGTTGTCGTTTCAACGGCTGCTAGTTCGCACAAATGGGTGACTCCCGAACAAAAACATGCCAGACAGCCTTCAGGGTGAGCCGAGCTCAGTCCGAAGTATCCCGTCTTGCACCTATCACAATACAGGCCTTCAACGTTTGGCTACAACAAAGTAACAAAAACTAACACCAAAGCGGATGTTAAGGGATGTGTGTTTGAGAAGAAGGACCTGAAAAACCTGCACCTTCTTCTTCCGTCTAAAGTCTATATACTAGTCTATAGTTATGCTACCCAATATTTATGGCTCTATGACAAAAGTTTTTCCCTATCGCAATGCAATTTCTTTGTCAGAGAGTTCAAATGTTCAACCTTTTAATATTCGGTAATGTATTTTTTACGGCATTAGTAATTTAATATTCACCAAATATCTTAAATAGGTGAAAAATTTAGTTTCTTAACTGTCTGAAAACTTTTTCACGAAGGTTTGTACAGCTAACTGGAGAAAGATAAAAAGCATCAAGTGCTTGTTCTTACTTTGCAATTGCATTCGTTCTCGCAATTGTTAACGTCAGTGATTCCCTTGGGATCGCAGGGACAAGGCTCGCAACTAGGATAGCCTCGATAGCCTGCAGCACACGAATCGCATCTACTACCCTTGTATCCGCTTTTGCATTTGCAGGTTCCCGCCAGATCGCCATACTGAAGATCAAAAAATGCAGAACGTTCATTGTAAATTAAATAATATTAATGAGTTTCCAATTTGAGAGAAAAATTAGATATCTTGTCTCCCTTAGAAACTTTTTAACTGGAAAACTCCAACAAGTTATAAAACAATACACTAAAAATATCAAAATAACCCAGATTGTGAATTGCATATCTATAGAAAACTGTTTGCTCCCCAAACTGTACAATAGGGTTTTCGCAGAACTTAATCTTATTTTTCTTACAGATTATAGATTTAAAACGGCAATTATACCTTCGTTCTCATTTTCTCATCCATTTTGTTTGTTTACTAATAGTGTTTTAGATTTAATCAAGTGTTGTATTAAATAATTAAAATTGATAAATTTTGCTACTGGATTTGTAAGTATCTGAATATTCGAGTTCGCATTGGTTGTCATTGCAAAATCATTAGAAACAATTATTCTAATGGTACTTATTCGTGCTCAAAGTAGTGGGTAATTTACGACGTCGGGTAATAATAAATATGAACATGATTAAGAAAACACAACCAAATTCCATTTAACACAAAGGGCAACAATTATTCGGTTGAAATTATGACAAACCCACACAAATAAGGATGTTGGCGTAATGATAGCTATTGTTTGCAAGTTAGGATTTGCAATGCGAATTATTTCTTCTTTCCTTTTATTCTTTTATATAACTTGTCGCAGGTTCGGTATAGATTTCAATGCATTTTAAATACACAAACAGAATTTAAAACATAAAAAAATTTATACGTTACCTTGTCTTTAAATTGATAAAACTGAGCTCGAGAAGATCGGTTTAATTACTCTCTATTTATACACAAGCTATACTATAAAACTATAAAATTTCATTTCCCGAAATATTAGGTGGTAGGAGTTTTAAAACACAAATTGCGTATTATGCATATTAAGGTATCAATCACTCAATTACATAAGAGCTACACTCACTACGTTAGTCACATAGACATATTTCACCTAAGTTTTAAATAATTATAGTTAAATCCGGCCTTATCATGCGAGTCCAAAGGCCACTAATCATAGGCATCCACTTTTTTTATGTCAAAATGGTATACGTCGGGCTTATTTATTATATGAATTTTATTTGGAGGGTATAATTAAAGGAGTTAAAAGAAAAACGAACGTGAAAGTTTGTCTTTCATAAACAGTAAGACCCGCACGATAACAAGAGATTAGGTCCTCTACAGTAGCATATCCATAATAATTAATTATACTTTCATTTAATGTTATTTTTCTCTTTTTTTGGTTAATGGTTTATTAAATTTTTATGTACACGTTTTTCTAATTATTATTAATAATAATAAAACACTTATGTGTACTCTGTAAATTGTAATATTTATACATTATGTTGATTGCATAATATATAAATTGAAAAAAAAATCCAGGTTTTTTTCAATTTTTTCAGATTTAAAAGCCAAATACACATGTATTACAATTTTAATTTATTTTAAGTATGATAATTCAAAATTGTCCAATCTAATCATAACATTAACATTTAAATTAAAACGTAGCTTTCAGTATCATCAGAAATGAGAGAAAAAAGGAGAAAATTTAGCCGCGCAATTTCAAGCTGAACCACATTAACAACCACAAACCTGTATGCAAATATCCGGCGGTGCTGAACCCCACTCGTCGCAATCGCACCTCTTGCACGGGGTGGGGTTATCGGGGGCGGTCCCCTGTGGTCGGAAGTAGCCGGAAACGCATTCCTCGCAATTTATACCCGTAGTGTAGTCCTGCAATTTTATTAACGGTGCGCTGTTTCTCATAACATAATTTAATGAGAATATGTAATTTAACTTATCCAGAATTAATGAAAAAATAAAGCGCTTCCACCATCGGTCAAGATCATGCTATTTTTTGCGGCTTTCGTTTCACGGGGCTTGATTTCTTATGTGTCATAAAATGTAGATAGCTCTTTTAGTCGTAAAATCCTCCTATAAATAATTAACTTGGATTGCACAGTATTCTTGAGTACAATCCAAAAAGGGTATGGGCTAAGGCAAATAATATGATATTTAAGTTCGCAGCTTGAAATTTGGCAGTTTAATTAGTGCAAAAATAACAAAGGTAACTTGTTTCATTTTATGAATGATAAAGCAAATATTCTTTTTTATGTATATATATATATATATATATATATATATATATATATATATATATATATATATATATATATATATATATATATATATATATATATATATATATATTGACCAGAATAAAAAATTAAAATGCTAAAACAATCAAAGTTCAATTAAAAACACCATCAAAAATAATTGACTTGATATAAAACAAAAATAACTAAGTCAGTCTCAAGTAGTTCTGGTTAGATTTAGTCATTTTTGGTTAGTTAGGTTAGTTATTGGTTAATATTAGCTGGTGTTGGATTTGTGAACATAAATTTCTCCTAGGAGGAATTGACACTAAATGCTAGTACTAATGATTTAGCTTTATTAAATAAATAACGACAGGTAATTATAGAAAACGTTATTGATATTTTTTTTAATTATATATTTTATTTATAAACCTATATTTCGGGGACAATAAGAAAAGAAAGAAAAAAAAACAATATCAACATTAAAATACATTAAAATGAAAATTGAAACGAAAAAAGAATAAAAATATATTCTAAAAAAAAGGACAAAAAAATCTTCTGTCATATTTCAGGGCAAATTAATACATTCCAGCAGTTAAAATCTAGCTCATTCTTATATGTGATAATTGGAATAGATATTTGACATAGTTTTATTAATATAATCCAAAAACATAAACCAATTTTGTAGAAGTAGAACTGCTTTGATTCCTTATTGCCACAAAATTACCTTCAAAATTTCATAATGTTACCACTGTACTTCCAATCATCACGTATCAGTAATTACTACTCATTTCTCCTAAAATTTCCACTAATAACAGCGACTTTGTATACTAAATTATACATTTAAACCTCTAATGTAGGTTAGCCTTAACTTATTTTTGATTAGCTTGAGTTAGTTATAGTTATTTGGTTAGCTTTTTTAATATTTTTTTCCTAAAATTTCTATTAATTACAACATTAAAAAAAATCATGTCCCCCTGGATGCAATAAATGACGTAATGTCAATGGCAAAGGAAGTAAAATTCCTTGCTTACTAATATAGACTTAAGAATCGATTTTAACTCGGTCGTCGCCGAAACTACTGAATAAGCTAAGATTGAAGAGGTATTACAATAGGTATTGTGTGTGATCAACTTGATTTGAGACTATTTAAATCAAATAATTAACAGTATTATTCAGTATGCATAACAGAAAAAGCAAGTGTCAGCAGGAACACCCCAAGAATCCGTGTTGGATCCATTACTATGGAAAGTGAGCTACGACAATATATTAAGAATAGAGTATGACCTAGTGGTCAGTGTTGTAGGCTATGCCGATGATGTAGCAGTAGTAACAGCAAGTCAAAACAAAGCAGAACTAGTTGGAGACGCGAACTATGCGCTGCGGAAGGTTGCGCAGTGGCTGCAGGTAAAAGACCTCGAGCTAGTAAGCAGAAGACGAAGGCGGTCACATTAAGTGGACGTAGAAACCTTCAAGACATACAGATCAATGTACGTAACCAAAGAATCAAGTCAACGAAGGCTACAAAATATTGGGGAAATCATTTGCGAAAATATAAGCGGCCAAATACAGGAAAGAGGGGTGTTCTGTACGGAGTTATGTATGGAGCATCTGTATGGGGCCCAACAATGAAAGTTAAGACATACCGTAGAATACTGGAAAACGTACAAAGGAAAGTACTCCTAAGTGTCGCAGGCGCCTACCCGATGGTGTCCAGTGCAGCGGATCAAGTTATAACGGCTTTCCCTCCTGTGGATCTATTGGTGGAGGAGAGGAAATACGCTGCTCAAGACGGTAGAGGAAGGAAGGAACGGACGGATTAGGAAAGTAGGTGGGAGGAAAAGATGACCCAGACCACTGATCCAGAATATAGATAAATGGAGGAGGTGCAAATACCGACAGCAGAACTATCATCTTACACAAATATTCACCGGACACGGCTACTTCAGAGTCTTTGCAAATAGACTAGGCATGACAGATAGCAAATGCTTCAACTGCTAGGGAGAGGACAGTGCGGAACATACACTGATCAGGTGTCCAAGATGGACCACTCAGAGGCTGAATATTTGTGAAGCCATTGGGAAAGCAATAGAGAAGCTTGTCTCCGGCGGGTCTGGTGGAAGACATGTTGGATACAGAAATATAATAGACATCATGAAGACGAAGAGTGTGGGACCCGGGGAAAGAGACAGATAAAGAATCAGGGAGCCACCAGGCTAGCAAAGTATGTCCGCGAGGATGATTCCACTACCCTTGCTGAGGCCGCCTAGAACATCAGACGAGGTTTCTGTGAACATATTTTCTAATCCCCTCGGAAAAAAAAGTTATAGTTTTGGTTAGTTTGGTTAGCTTTTTAATATCAAGGTTATACTTCCAATAATTATGAGCAATTACCACTCATTTCCCCTAAAATTTCTACTAATTATCACTAGTGTGTACACCAACATGCCTAAATACGTTGGTTAGTCTTAGTTAGTTTTTGTCAGTTTTGGTTAGTAGCAATTACCAATCATTTGCCCTAAAATTTCCACTAATTACCATAACTGTGTTTATTCGTTGGGCAAGTTTAGTTTGGACTATTTTTTGTTTAGCTTTTGTTAAAGTTAGTAAGTTCTAGTTTTAATTAACTTTCTTTAGTATGGTACTAAGATTTTGCGTATAAGTTAGTTAATATTTGGGCAGTTCGACCGCTAAGGCAAAGATGCAATAGAGAATCCGACGAAAAACGTACTAATCATTTGACAAACACTTTCGAGAGAAACAAAAATAATTTAAAATTCGTATTATCCCGGAATTAAGCGGTTATTTATATGATGCGTCCGAGTAGAGCTTTCGGAAACTACGAAAACGGCTCATTAGGTTAAAACGCCGCCGGAGAAAGGGCATTTCCTGAAATTGGCCGCCCCTTTAAATCATTGACCAACCCTAACTGCGAACGGGCTGAGTCCGTGGCGAAACCTGCTACATTATTAAGCGGACAGTTAATAATTTAAAGATACCGGACTTCTATGGGCCTCTTCCGGAGGAGTTCGCGTAAATTTTATATACACGAATTTGTTCGCATCCATTAAATGACAATTACGGAAACCATAAAAATGTTTCGCTTGCCTGTATACAGGGTGATTCATTTTAAATTGATTTTAAGTGAGTCATTGTTTCGTTAATAAAATAGTGGGCTCTCCGCACCTTCCATCAATTTTGATTGCTTGTAATTTGGGTATAATATTTGTTCTGCGAAGGTTAGATTCATCACATATCGCCAAATCTAAAGGACTTCGTTCATTAAAAGTTTATTGAGATGCAATTGCTTTCAATTTTTAGGCTTAAGGTAAGTGTGAAGTATACTTACTTTTTATAAAAATATTTTTAACCTCCTGTCACTTCCGGTTCAACCGAGTGCTTATTTCAAAGGCAACACTCCGAATATTATTACATTTTGAGATTCTCTATGAAATTATAAATTTATTTCATGTACAACGGGCTTTACCTATGTTTGACCATTTTTGACTTAAACAAAAATGTGCTTTCAACTTTACCAATTTTGAAAATGCTTTTTTTTTAAATTAAAAAGAGGATTCAGTCCACGTTTTTCTTATTGTTGTTGTCCACTTTTATACAGAGTCTCCAAAACTGGGTGGCAAATAATCAGATTTTCAAAATCGCTAAAATCGGTATCAAACTGTGTTGGGGTTATGGTCTCTTCGTAGATATAACAAAGTAACCAATTGCTTTTGAACGGATTATCCAAGGGTGGTCATTAACATACAATGCAACAAGATTATTACTATTAATTATTTATTAATATAAATTAATTAATAATAATTAATTAATAATTATTAATTAATAATCAATTAATTCATAATCACCTTAATTAATAATACTAATCTTGTTGCATTATATGTTAATGACCACCCTTTGATAATACGTTCAAAAGAAATTGATCAGTTTCTAATATCTATGAACAGAACATACCATATTCCACACCACACTCGAAATATTAATTTTTTTTTGACGGTGTCGTATTTGTTCGGCTGAACATTTTCCCCTCACGTACTTGCCTAAGGAAAATCAATTATTGCGGTTTGTTGTCAAACATGACAATTAATTAGGATGCACTAAATGTTGACAACTATGGACAACCAACAAAGTAAAAGTTTAAATTTAATATGGACGAATAACGATATTCTCAATTTGTTTTATAGGTATTGACGGTGAATAATACAAAGAGCTGAAGAGGACCGTTTTCAATGTACGATATCTCCATTTGCCGCCAATGCGTTTCGGAAAAATTTAACTTAACTAAAACAAAAAAACGGATGTTCTAGATGCCGCCCGTCCATTTAAAGGCCTTTTTCGATTCTTCTTTGTACACTGCTGCTCCGGCTAGTTGAAGTTATTGGTAGTATAATTCGGCAAAACATGAACTGTGGCTAAAATCTACCAAGAACATGCACCGCTCCCAAACTCTTTGTCAAAGTCGTAACTTCTCATCGTTTTGACGTCTTCGAGTGACAGTTTACGCACGCTTGACCACATAATTGGAAATTTTTGAGTAGGGAGCAAAAAAAAATAATTAAAGGGAAGGCAATTTAAAAATGAATCGCAGAGCGGAAAATAAGTGGGTGTTCATTACCACGTTAAAATTCTATTTGTTCTTTAAAAGTGGCAACGTCTCCTATCTGTATTCTATGTACACCATTAAATTCGATTTTTTTAGTAGCTGTAGAGTGATATTAAAAACATCACCTTTCAAATGCTGCGTTCACATGAACTTTCCTTTTTACGATTTCGATTTTTGCGATTCATTTAGAAATACCGTTTACACATGTAAACAACATTTGGTAAATTTTTCAAAGAAATTCCCACACGGCACTGGATATATTGTTTGAGGGGGGCGGAACTAAAGAAGGGGCATGAACATTATCTATAGATTCTCGGATGTTTCTACCAACGAAAAATCCGAGAATTTATAGAAATCCATAAGCAGCGACTCAGCGACCAATATGGGAATCAGTCATCCGAGACATTGTTCATGCCCTTCCTGTAGCTCCGCCCCCCTCAAACAATATATAAGCAAGTACAGAATAGAATGCGAGTCAGTCACAATTAAGCCCTGAAGAAGCCCCTAGAATGATTTGTATGTAACACATTTTGTAGGTTATGGCTAAAAAGAAACACTTAATCACAAACGCTAAAGGAGCGAAGATTTGAATGTGTTTAGCTCGTCGTGTTAATGAGGAAGGAGGATTCAATTAAAAAATGTCGAATATTTTGCTGCTACAATACTTACAGTGCAGTTGTCACATACTCCCCCACCATGATAGTTTCCGGCAGTGTCCATGCTCAGGCCGGCTTTGTCTACCGCTTCGTCGTAATGACAGCTGGCTGCGTGGCCGTGACAGTTACACGGAAGACATTTTTTGGCGTCGCGCGCAGACCCCGGCAACCACTGACGTTGGTTGTACAGCGCGCAGCACTTGTCGCAGTTGGGCCCGCAAGTGTGATGCAGGCATTCGCACTCAGGATGCTGTGAGCAGTTTTTTCTTATTAAAGAGGAGCTGTTAATGACAGCGAGTTAATTAAAGATTACAATAGCTAACAAAAAAAAAGATTAACTGCTTTTACCATTTGTAGTTAAACTGAGTTTATAACTTTTGTTCGAATTTGACTCTAGCTTTCCAAATCCCGCGTTTATTTTCTCTAAATTTGTTTTCTTGGATAGAATTTTCTTTAAGTGAAATTTAATATCGACAAAGTTATTAAATGCGCTTTCAAACATTTAATAAAAAAATAATAATTTTCATTGTTAGATTGTTCGATTAATGATTATTTATTTATAATTTTATTTTGATTAAAACTGCAATAAAAGTGCAAGATAAGATTTCGTGTTGCTATAATTTGTGTAAAGCGGTTCCGCCACTGCGTACTCCGCGACGTCGATATTAGACATTCATGAAATATAAATTTTAATTGGATGGGGAGGAATTTAATTAGGACTGATCAGTATCTGCGAAGAGAAAATTGTTTGAAAATATTTTTAATGTTCTGTTTTAAAGGAGCAATAAACCAATCGAGATTTAACGATCGCCCGTTTATGACCAGTCACCGGAAAATATTGTTTTTGAATCAATTTTTACGAAAATACGGAAAGGAAGCCCGAAGGCTTGTGCCTTTTTGCTTGCGCACAGTTCTTTAAGCGAACGTAGTATAGTGGATTAAGTACAGTGGTTTTTCCAGAGGCTATTGACTTTTTTGTCAATATTAATTCAAATTGTATATTATCAAAATTCGATATTGGTGCTATTTATTACCGTATTCAAGTATTAAATATTAAATTTTAATTTTAGCGTGAATAGTACACAGACCTGTTGAATTAGAATCATTAGTAGAATGTATTTCTAGTAAAGCTTTAAAAGGAGAAATATTTCTACCCCATTAAAATCGGGACAGAGGATTAGGTGAGTAAAAAAAAGTAATATTTCATTTTCCTCTGACGCGGGAGGGCACCGAACAATTCAAAACATTCCTTGTTTAAAATAAAGGGTGGTTTGTTGGTTTTAAAGTCAATCATATGGCTCTTCAAGTATGGCTGAAAATAATGGTTTCGGTATTTATTTTGAAAACGAAAACGGAACAATGAAATGTTGCGAAAGTATTATTAATATAAAACAAGCCAAAACTCCAAATTTTTATATTTTTTAAAATGAAAGGAAGATATTGGGATTGAAACTGGTACCCAATAACAAGGGAAAACATCGAAGGACAGGTTTATTACAATTTTTTAATAAACATTTCTAAAACTAATTGATCTATACGTGAGTAAACTGTGACCTTCATTAAAAATATTATTTTTTAACATTATAAGTCAAATAAAAACACAAAAACACAACAAATAAACACCTAAGGCAAAACAAAAACCGAATTTTTATAGCAAGTGTTGAAAATGCCTGACATTAATCCACATTATTGAGTCGCAATTATTTTGGAATATACTTGGGTAATCGTCCAGGCATATTCTTATAAATATCTTATGACATCCTAAGACGCAATTATCCGATTTCTTAGATCTTCGATATCCTGTATTCGATATTCGATATAGATAATGATGTCCACATTCTGTTACTGTCTGTTGCGAAAGTTTTGGATTGCATCCCTTGAGCAACTAGCTTTCTTCGAAATCATTGAGAAAAGTCATCCTATGTTAGAAATCTTTTGGTAAGGAGCTTGAAGCCTCTGTGCGTGCTATAGATATAACTGTTGTTCGTTTAATATTCTCAATACATTTGATGTATCAGTAATTAATTCTGCTGTAATTTTCCTCCTAGTACACCTCCCTGGTTCCTGTACTTTTTTATGGAACCTGGAAAACAAGCTGTGATGCGGTGGTCTACAGTTGGGATACGCTTATCTTTAATCACGATAAGCTCCCAAGAAATTTCTTATTTTGAAAAAATTGCTGGAGTCAAATTTTTCTAAATAATAATCATAAAATAAAAAAAAATTGTCTTCCTTAAATTTAATTAAGAGTCTAATTCAAGCCCCTTCCCTCATTTAAAAAAAATGCTGGAAGTGTGCCTTTATAATAGCAAAACTTCGGTAATATTTTACTGCTCCATTTTGGTTTATAAAGGAATACCATACTTATATCTTTTGACCCAAAGTAAGTTTATACAACAGACTTAACATTATTTTAAAGAAGGAATCATCCCCGAAGTTTTTCGAATTTGTTTTGGAACAGTCTGTATATAAATCAATTGAAGGAGCTCGACGAATTCTTTGAATAGGTTTCATCTTGTATAAATATTTATTCTAGGAATATATTGTTTAGTATAAAGTTTTTCCATGTTCACAATTTAATTAATAACTTGATTTTCAAATATAAACATCTAAATTTCACTATTATGAATTGAATTGAATAATTGACATCAATCGGTATTACCATAAAATTAATCTGAAAACACTAGGCTGAAATTTCGGTTGTTGAGTCGAACTTGCTAAAGTTTCGCCAATCACCCTGTTGACTTCTTCAAAGCTTAGCTGAATCTGACTGGCGTTTTACTCTGTACCGACTTATATGTTATTTCAGGGGGATGGAGCTAAATGAGGGGCATAAATATCGTTTCGGATGACTGATTCCCATATTGGTGACCGGTAAAGACCATGCATATGAGGCAAAAAATATATTGGAGAGGCCAGACGAAAAATATCAACTAGGCTCAAAGAACATGAAAGAGACTTAAGACTAAAACAAATAAACTCATCAGCAGTTGACTACATGGTCAAGGATCGCTAGTACATTTATCGACTCTTTTGTTTACAGAGGCGTAAAAGAGTTAAAGCACCTTACCTCTGCTCTTCTCTCTAATTATTTCCGCATAAAGATATAAATGTTCCATCACAAAGTACACTTCACCACAACCTTTCAAAGACAATGAATCCGAAAGCAACACTACACTTGCCACTGTTGTCCTTCCTTATTTCCAAAACATTGCTGACCACATATCACAAGTTCTTAAGGAATAGAACATCAAAACCAGATTTACCACTTGTCCAAAAGTCTTCCAATATCTTTGATCCTTCAAAGACAAGATTCCATTTGAGATGCCAGGAGTTTACAACATTCCATGCATATGCAGCAAAGATACATTGGAGTGACCGGACGAAAAATATCAACTAGGCTCAAAGAACATGAAAGAGCGTTAAGACTAAGACAAATAAACTCATCAGAAGTTGCCGAACACAATCACAAAACCGGACATAAAATTATATTCGATAAAAGAATTTTAGCATATAATCAATTTTTCTACCAATGAAAAATCCGAGAGTCTGTAGAAATCTATAAGCAACCATACAATCTTAACCGTGCCTTTATCTGTCACCAATATGGGAATCAGTCATCCGAGGCAATGTTCATGCCACTCATTTAGCTGCGTCCTTCTCAATATATATAAACAGGTACAGAGTAAAATGCGAGTTAGTTTCAGCTAAGTTCTGAAGAAGCCAACAGGATGATTGGCGAAACGTTAGCAAGTTCGACTCAAGGACAACCGACGAAGGTTTCTAAATAGCATTACAGCAGCCTGCTGAAGTTTCTTTGTAATATTAATATAACATAACATCGCCATAATGTTCAAGTACCATAAGATCAAATTTAGTGATTGTCTTCTTTTTTTCAGAAAAAAATATGCCGGTCAGATAGTAAAAGCTCTTAGGGCCCTGAAAATATTTTCTATTATTTTTTTGGTTATTAGGGCAAACTGTTTTTTGTTGTTTTTTGAAAGTAATGAATATTTTCGAAATTAAGTCGATCTATTTCGAGGAGTCGTTAACGAGGCGCTCCTGAATGATAAACGACTCGCGTAATGCAAATCGCTGTACGCGAATTTAAAACTCGATTTATGAAATCAACATCAATTACTTATCAAGAAAGAAATAAGAAAACTGTCACGTTTCCCGCTCGCAATTATAGATTGGACTTTCTTCGAAATGCGCCAGCAAACGTATATTACCGTCTATGAAATGTCGTAAATTGGACCGTTTTGATAGGAAGTAAATAACCTACAATCTCAGAACATGCTCGGTGTGGAACCAAGTCCGTGTTCCGGAAGTAGACATCCACTCGGTAAATTTTCGACTTTTAGAAGAGCTTGACGATCGAAAGTGGGACGATTGCAAGCCCGTATAGGCGTAGGGTGCGGCGTATTTAGTTCGATTTAGAAAAAAAAGACAATCCAGACAGGCGGAAATAAATGGTTATTGGCATCTAATTTGAAATGTTTTATTATACCGAACGCGAGTATAATTTTTAAAAAATGCTGAGATTCGAAACTTCTTCGAAATTATCACGAAACAATTTTTAAAATAAATAATGAAATACCATTCAATCGTGTTAAATGTTAAGATCAGAAAACAATTGATTTAAAGTATCATCGCATAGTTGCAACCATTCGCAATAAGGAAGCAAATACCATTTGATCAATTTTGCTCAACATTGTGATTTGTTTTCTTCATTTTATTATCTTCCCATTGACAATAGTTTGTGAGCAATATATCTAAAGTCTACTTCAGAAATGTTAAGATGTGTTTACATAAGCCGCTTTAATTGTTTGGCACTCATTGCATTCCAAAATTCTTTATTTATTTGGGTCAAGCTATGGGTTTAGCATATTGATATCATTTAGTAAAACAAAGGCATTCCGATAGGACAAAATTTTACTTTAATAGAATAAAAATTTTGTCTTATGTGTGTACATATATAATGTAGAGGTATCCCTATTTTTTTATTAAACGCTATACAAAAAATTCGTTATACAAAAATAGAATGATAAAAAATCATAATATTCCTCGTCATCTAATGAACTGTGATCTCCTCTTGACGTTATAATTAAAAATTATTAAACAAAAAATACGATCACTTTCACCCATAAAAGTTCTAGATATTAGTTTCCTTGCAAAACATTTATATTTTAACACGTACACAAAGTAATTGAATTTTTGTTTTCTATTTTATATGATTTTGGACGAGAA